TACTTGGGTTCTAATCCCAGCTCTGCCTCTTGAGAGCCATGTGGCCTCAAAAAGTTTCTTAACCTCTCTGACCCTCATCTGTAAGACAGGAACAGTAATTATACTACTCTCACAGAATTATTATAGTGGCTAAATAAAAACAATCTATGTATAATTCAATATCGACTGATTATTTAATGATTTGCTATACCCATAAAAAGAGGCTCCCATCCTCTTTCCCTGACAGTGACCCTGCATTACTATTGGCAGCGATAAAGGGGTGCTTCACTAGTGCCCATCATGACACTCCCCTCATCTTCTTCTCCAGATTCGGTCGCGCTTGTCCACTGCTGCTGTCTGCAGCTTTACTGGGATGCTCCTGATTTCACCCCCAAGGTGTGTTCATAACATTTCCACTTCTCAGAGCCCCAGAACAGTGCTGAGGCAGATAGAGCTGGGAGGGAGGCCTCCCGCTCTTCCTTTGCTGTTACTGACAGATCTCTCAAAGCCCCTCTTGAATAGTCCCATTAACCTCATCAACCTCTGTCTATAGTTCCATTTTTACTAGTGAGCTCAAAACCAGTTCAAGGAAGTAGATGGATGCTGGAAATCCTACCTCCTCCATTCTCCAATTCCTTATCTTTAGCCTCTCCCCTTCTCCTGACTTCCTCTCCACATTCTTTTACAAAAGAAAGTTCCTTATAGATGAATGCATATATGCTAAATGATTCTGACATGAATGTAGGATCAGTGGTGTCTACAGTGGCAATAATTAGACAATAAATGCTCTGTTTTTATTTACTTAAAAAATTTTTTTTTCTTTATTGATGTTAGAGAGAGAAGTAAGGAAGACGGAGAGAGAGCTAGAAACATCGATGAGAGAGAACATTGATTGGCCGCCTCCTGCATGCCCCCCACTGGAGATCGGGCCCACAACCTGGGCATGTGCCCTGACTGGGAATGGAACCTCTTGGTGCATGGGTCAACGCTCAACCACTGAGCCACACTGGCTGGGCTAAATGCTCTGTTTTATATGTGTTTGGACATTGGTTGTACTTCATCACACATATAACAACTCCTTTTTCAAACTTTTAATGTAATGGAGCAGTATAGAGTATAATTTTGTACATGATGTACTCTATTAGACACATTTGATTTTTTATTACAGAGAATTCCACAGTGTCAAATATTTCATAGGATTGTGTACAGTGAAACAAAATGGGGTGTTGTTTCCACCTTTCACTGTTGAGAAACTTGGCACTAAAACTATATTGAACAGTTATAATCGATCTGAACAGAATTTATATTTGAAAACAATGAGGTTGATTACAATGAGGTTGTATTTCCAGTTCTCATTAAGAATGCTAATTATGGGGCCCCAATATTTCTTTCTCTGTCTTTCTCTTTCCCTTCATCCTTTCGTCTTCATCCTTCCCTCCCTCCCTCCCACCCTTCCTTCCTTCTCATAGTGACATGATAGAAATTTATCTACCATCCTCTCTATTCATTGTGGAGTTTCAGCATTATTTTAAAGTGGTAAGAAATATGATGGGTGGAGGGATTTCAGATTGGAAGTCAGTCAGCCTGGAACCAGTCCCACTACCTTGAAGTAGAAAATACTGTATTGACTCTATGACCACAGGCAGTTTTCTTAACCGTTCACTTTCTTGTCTCACGAATGGGTAGGACCAATGTTCCTTGTGGGCTGTGCTCTGGCTGTACTGGGAGTTGTCTGCTGGTATCATTCCTAATTGATTCATGCTTCATTTGGACTGTTGGTGCCCAAGCCAAATACTTTTACTATCACCACAGCAAGTGGCTATAATAACTATACTGCCCACCCCACAGGGTTTGGAAGGGTCTTGAAAGCAAATGACACCACAAGCAAAGAATAACAACCATATAAATGTAAGGTCCTAAGGAATGAAAGAATAGAAAAATACCTAGGTCAACAACCCAAAGATCAAAATGTGCATGGCCCCATCTAAGGGTTCAGGATGAGGTTCTTTTTAATTTGTTTTGCTTTTTAAACTAAGTCTTTGTTTCTGCTACTATTTAATCTGGGGAAAACAAAGGCTGTTATGACCTTGAATTTTATCTCAGAGTACCCCCCCCCCATTTATAAAATCACAGGATAGTAAATTATGACAGAGGAGAAAAAAAATCTTTCAAAGAATTGGGTCATTATGGCATGGATCCATGCAAGCTCTTCTGGGACAAGATTTAATTACTTCATAAATTGCGTGTGTTGATTGTGTTATAATAATCCTGTGTGCCTCATTAAACCCCAAATGCATGTCCTTGCATAAAACTCATTTCTTTTCTTGCCAGCCTGATTGGATGTATTGTCTTTGAAGTTGTCTTTGGGAAACAGGTGCACCTGGCTCAGAGTTAGGCAGGTGTGCAATGTCTCAAGAGTAGTGAAATGTTATGCTCTTCGATTCTGACAACCCATGCTCTAGATGAACTATTAGGGGTTCCCTCCTCTTTTTTGTTTCTTAACGGGTGCATCAGTTAATAAAAACTTCCACGTAGGAAAAGTGGAAAAGCGAACCTCCTGAGACTCCAGTCTGTCTTATTCTATATTTAAGGCTTGAGATGCAGTTTTACAAAATGCATGCCTGTCTTAATTTCTTCCACCAAAACCATTTGGAATAGATCTAACAGAATCAGCCAACTTCATTTGATGCAGCAATGCAAAATAAACCAGAGAAACTGAATGGATTTTTAAAGTAATAAAGAATGGAATACGGAGTCCCTGTCTTTTATAGTAGTGCATTTATAAGAAGAGACCTCTTTATCGTAAAATTGGACAATATGAGGTCTGGCTTCCTAAAACAGCAGTGCTACTCAAGATGAGAGCCATTGACTGGTATCAGTTAGCAAACTGTTACTTGTCCATGACAACAAAAGCACAGAAATTGAGAGTGAGCATCTAGAAAGTTTTACAGCAATCTAAGTGTGGACTTGATTTTCATTTTATTTGGCAAAAATGTCAGTTCATGTTGGATTGGAAATGAAAAAATCTGACCCTGAGATAGTTTGAGAAGTGCTACTGTAGAGAATTCTTTCAACACTATACTATCTTTCCCAAAGATGACTGTTGTCATAAAAGTTGCTTAGGCAAGAGAATAATACTGCCCTGAACTTCTTAACTGCTTCAAAGTGTGAAGACACGTAACAATCAATGTTTTTACCTGCAAATATTAGCTCCTTGATAGAGAACCAACTTCCATTCCTTCTGCCCTCTAGTCTCCTTAACTTTTTCCAGATAGGACTCAGTTCCTTCCAGATCTTATGCATTGTCAAAAGTGTGCCCCTACCCTGGCCAGTTTGCTCAGCGGTTGAGCGTTGGCTTGCGGACCAGAGAGTCCCGGGTTTGGTTCCCGCTAGGGGCACATACCACAAAAACAAACAAACAAACAAAAAAACAAACAAACGAGTGTGCCCTTTGTGAGATGTCTGTGATGTTCTAGCTGGGCCCCCGTTTAGATGGGTACTAAGAAATACCTATTTCTCTGGTGCCTCCACATTCCTCCCTCCCATTTTAGGAGGACCTGGTGTGTTATCTTTCTTGCATCAGAGATAAGTTAGGTTAGCTGAGATGAGAGGTAACCTGTAATAGGATATAAGGTGACCTTCCTTCTCAGTCAGCCCTAGATTGTGAGTGAGGCCTCTTTGTTAATTCTCCTGTCCCGAGTGCCCTCTCCACACTGAAAAGCACACGGGAGCCTCTCAAGTCTTCAGGGCTTTTCTGGCTGGTGACATAGCATCTGATTAAACCTGAAAGTTTTGAAGTTCCTTTTGTATACAGATATCTACCTTTTGGAGGAGTATCTGTGTATTGGGGGAAGGGAGGGCTGGATAAACAATTTTTTGTTGTGAATCCATTGTTTTTTTTGTTTGTTTGTTTTGTTTTTTAAGAGAGAGTGGAAGGGAGGGATGGAGGAGAGAGAGAGAAAGAGAAATGATACGAGAGAGACACATTGATTGGTTGCCTCCTGGATATGCCCTGACTGGCCGGGGATTGAACCTGTAATCCAGGTACGTGAACTTGATCAGGAATTGAATCTGAGACCCTTTGATGCATGGCCTCATGCTCCAACTGCTGAGCTACACTGGCCAGGACTGAATAAACACTTAAAAAAATTTTTTTTGTTGACCGACTTTAGAGAGAGAGAGGAAGGGAGAGAAAGAAAGAAACACTCATTTGTTGTTCCACTTATTTATGCATTCATTGGTTGCTTCTTGTATGTATCTTGACAGAGACTGAACCCACAACCTTGGCATATTGGGATAATGCTCTAACCAACTTAGCTACCTGGCCAAGGCTGGAAAAACATTTTTTTAAATTAAAAACCTTCAAACTCAGAATTAACAAATGCTAATTTTATCTTTTTTCTGGATATATTTTGTTTGCATTTAAAGAACTAACATATTGCCCAGCCGGTGTGGCTCAGTGGGTTGAGCCTTGTTCCATGCACCAAGAGGTCACTGGTTCAATTCCCCATTGGGGCATATGCCCAGGCATCGGGCTTCATCCCCAGTGGGGGCTGTGCAAGAGGCAGCCAACTGATGTTTCTCTCTCACATCTATCTTGCTCTCCCTCTCCCTTCCTCTCTCTCTAAAAAAAATCAATAAAAACAAAACCAAAAAAGAGAACCAACATATGAAGTCTCAGTCTTCTTTCTCCCCTTCCAAGATGCATTTACTATCTTGAAGTTGGCAGGTACACTCCTGTCTCTGTTTTTATACTTTTACTATTTTATTTATTTATTTATAATCCTCACCCAAGAACATGCTTAGAGAGAGGAAGGGGGAGAGACAGAAGCATCGATGTGAGAGAGAAGCATCAGTTGGTTGCCTCTGTACATGCACTGATTGGGGATCGAACCTGCAACCTTGGTATGTGCCCTGACCAGGAATCAAATCAGCAACCTTTCAGTGCACTGCATGATGCTCAACCAACTGAGCCACTCCAGCCGGGGGCAGTCTTTTATTTATTTTAATAAACACATAAAAAAGGGGGCTTCTGTCGTGAGTGGCACATGTAGAAGAGCTTGATGGTTCTATGTGTGGAATCGACACCAAGAGATTTGGGGAGCATAATTTTTTGGTACTTGGGCAGCTGATAATCATTGGTCCTGGAGCCTGGGAAAAAAAGAAAAAAAAGAAAATACTGTATCAAATACATATTGTGACATTACAACCACTCCAAAATGTACTGGCCGAAGTAATAACAATGATTGTGTTATTATATTTTACTGTTCTGTGGGTTGATGGGGCCCAACAGGTGGTTCTTTCATAAGATTACAGTCAGATGGCAGCTGGAGCTGGAGTCATCTTAAAGACTTCCGCACTCACAGATCTGGTGATTCATGCTGGCTATTGGCTAAGAACTCATCAAGGGCCCTCAGCGGGAACGTCTACATGTATGGCTTCTTCAGATGGCCTGAGCTTTTTTTTTTTCTTTTTTCCTCACCCGAGGACATTTTTCCATTTTTTGTTCAGAGAGAGTAGGAGGGAGAGAGAGAGAGAGAAACATGGACATGAAAGGGACACATCGAGTGGTTGCCACCCGCACGACCCAACCCGGGCCAGGGACAAACTGCAACCGAGGTACATGCCCTTAGCGGGAACCGAACCCAGGTCTCTCTGGACCGCAGGCCTATGCTCTAACCGCTGAGCCAAACTGGCCAGGGCAGCCTGAACTTTTTCACAGCATGTGGCTGGATTCCAGGAGAAAATGTTCCAAGAGGACCGGGTAGAAGTCGCATCACCTTTTATGATCTACCTTCAGAAGTCACATGATATGACATTATTTCTGCCATAATTATAGCCCACTCAGATTAGAGAGAACATAGACCCCCCGCCACACACACATAAAAAATAATAAAATTTTTAATTGATTTATTTTAGATAGAGAGAGGGGTGTATAGGGAAGAGAGATACATCGATTTGTTGTTCCACTTATTTATGCATTCATTGGTTGTTTCTTATAGGTACCCTGACTGGGGATTGAACCTACAACCTTGGTGTATTGAGATGATGCCCTAACCAGCTGAACTACCCAGCCAGGGCCTTATACACATATTTCTTGACGGGAGGAATATAAATGTCATATTGTAGGAAGATCATGTAGAATGGAAAATCCTGTGTCCATCTTAGGAAATACAACCTGCCATAAATACTTATTATGTGCCAGGCACTATTCTGTGTTTTACAAGTAGTACATATCCATAATCAAGATGTGGTACTATTTGTATGTTTTTTATCTTTTTATATGTGATATCATATGGTATGTATCATTTTATAACATTTTCCCTTCAGCTTTATAGTTTTGAGCTCTACTTAGCTCAAAAGTTAGTGAGGACAAATGCATTTCTTTTTTATTTATTTATTTTTTTATGGCTGCTTTCTATTGCATTGTAGGAACATATTACAGTTTGTTCATTTCCCATGTGCATATATCTTTTATTTAAATTCTCGCCTGAGGATATTTTTCCTTTTTTTGTTGTTGTTCAGATAGAGTGGGAGGAAGAGAGATAAACATTAATGTGAGAGGGACACATCAAGTGGTTGCCTCCTGCACGACCCCAATCAGGGCCAGGGACGAATCACAACCGAGATATCTGCCCTTGACCGGAATAGAACCCGAGACTCATTGGTCCATAGCCAATGCTCTAACCTCTGAGCCAAACTGGCCAGGGCTATATCTTTATTTTTTAAATTGAAATGATATAGTACATATTACTTTCTGATATTTTGAAAACTACAGTAAATGGTCATCACTTTCCCATGCCACCAAATATTCTCCCAACATAAAATTTTAGTGGCTACATTGCATTCATCCATCATATGAATTAAACATAATCTTTAAACTCTTAGAGATGAAATTTTAGGTTGTTTGTAATTTTTTTTCACGAAACCCTAACCCTATCCCTATTTGTCCTTTACCATATCTTGTTTATCCTCACCCAAGGACATTTTTTTCCATTTTTTGTTCAGATAGAGTGGGAGGGAGAGAGAGGAAGAGAGAAGAAAGAGAGAGAAACATCTACGTGAAAGGGACATATCGAGTGGTTGCCACCCGCACGACCCAACCAGGACCGGGGACAAACTGCAACCAAAGTATGCACCCTTAGTGGGAACTGAACCCGGGTCTTTCTGGACCACAGGCCGATGCTCTAACCGCTGAGCCAAACAGGCCAGGGCACCATGTCTTGTTTAAATAAGACTTCCCTGACTCCCCAGGTAAGAGATGCTTCCCTCTTACAAAGCACTTAGCTTGATTATAATAAACAATTCATTGTGTAATTAGTTGTTTAATGTCTGTCTCTTCCACTAGACCACAAGCTCACGACAGCAGGGAACATGACTATCTTTCCACTTCTACAGTCCTCAGAGTCTAAATAAGTATTTGTTAAATGAATGAATGAATGAATGAATGAATGAATGAATGCGTGCATGAATGAAGAAATAAACAGGTGGTTAGATAGATGGTGATCTCATCATCCCGTTACATGGCCTCAGTTTTCAGTATACTTGTGACTAAAATGTATATTGTAAATTCTTTCTCTTTTGAAACTGAAGAATAAAATGATATTCAGGAAAAATCTCTTGCTATATTCTAAACGCAAGTGCTAGAACACCAGAATCCATGTAGATATTTTGTAAATGCCAAATGTCAACAAAGGGGCACACGATTCAGCTAGTGCTTGACCTAGGAAATAGCATTTTACTGCCCACAGAGTGTTTGGAGACAATTTTCCTTGGGTCTCATATTTCTTCATGTCTTGTGAACAGAAGCATCAGTAGTCTTTTGTTCTGTATTATCTTTTCAAGGATAGTATAACCTGGGAAGATGGACATAGTGTCTCCCTCCAGAAGAGAAGGTAGAATGTTTGCAGCATAATAAAGATATGTCTCCTTCTGGGGCAAATGTTGGACAATGGGTTTGCCTGTTGTCCATTATACAAAATTGGAGTTTTCTATGCTTGGGGTTCCTCTCCTGGAATGAAACCCACCGTGCGTACAGGCACTGCCTTCCTCTCATTGTATCACCTCTAGGAACCGGAGTTGGGGAATTGATGCAAGAAAATGATCATCTGTGGATACTGCTATCATTGTGACTAATAAACTCTCCTTTGTCACTAACCCAGGAGATCTGTCTTTGATCAGTATCCACAAAACTGTGGCCAACTAACTTGTTAGCTTGCAAGTAGGATAGAAATCTCAAATCTTTCACAGTTCTTGACACAAAGCAGCTATTTATAAACATTCATATTACTCGTTTGGTGATCAGGGAACGAATGTTTTAAACATTTTACATCCTACTATAATTGATTGTCTCATATCTAGGTGCTTTAGAGTGTTTTAGTTATGATGTAGAAAATAGTGTAATTATGCTTTTCCTCTTTAAATAATACAAAATTGGCTTTCAGTTTGGGTTTTCACACCGAGTTTCTACTTTTATATACAAACACATATACATATATGTATATATATATATATTTTTCTTCTTCTTCTTCCTTTTTTGATTTGAGAGAGAGAGGAAGTAAGAGGGAGAGAGAGATAGAAACATCGATGAGAGAGAACATCAACTGGCTGCCTCCTGCATGCCCACCACTGGGGACTGGGCCCACAACCTGGGCATGTGCCCTGACCGGAAATCGAACCGGTGACCTCTTGGTGCATGGGTTGATGCTCAGCCACTGAGCCACAGGAGCTGGGCCAGAGTTCCTACTTTTTAGAAGAGATTTTCTGATACTGAGTGGGAGGTGCCTGTGCCTTTGTCCATAGTCACTGGTATGTGGTTTTGGAAGTACCTTAACTCATTCTCTCGAATGTAAGCTTAGCATTGCCAACAATCACTCAAGGGCAAGATCCATGAATGCTCTTCTTTTGCATTCCTCCTCTCCCTTCTTTTTTTTTATCCTTATCTGAGAACATTTTTGCATTTATCTTTAGATAGAGCGGGAGGGAGAGAGGGAGGAAGAGAAAGAGAAACATGGATGTGAGAGAGACACATAGACTGGTTGCCACCCACACGACCCCAACCAGGGATGGGGACAAACTGCAACTGAGGTACGTGCCCTTAGCAGGAACCGAACCCAGGACTCTCTGGTCCATGGGTCAATGCTCTAACCGCTGAGCCAAACCAGCCAGGGGTCCCTTCTTTTTTTTAATCCTCACCAGAAGATATTTTTCCATTTATCTTCAGATAAAATGGGAGGAAGAGAGAGATACTGAGAGAGACATTGATGTGAGAAAGATCCCCAGGGCTCAGAATCGAATTGCAACTGAGGTATGTGCCCTTTACTGGAATTGAACCCACAACTCTTTGTTCCAAGGGCCATTGCTCTAACCACTGAGAAACCGGCCAGGGCCCCATCCTTCTTATAAGGCTTCTGTCCAAATATTATAATTATTCCAATATGGTTGATTGTACTTTCCAAAGGTCAATGCAGTGATATCTCCCACTCCACCACACTACTTTTGTGCTATGTGACTTTGTCATTCTCTCATCAAGAGGTGCAGTCTCTTTCTCCCTCTCCTTGACTCTGGGAAGGCTCTGTGACCCTCTGACCAGTAGTAGAATATGGCAGAAGTAATATGGAGGAAGTTTCAGACATAGTTCTTTACTGGCCCTGCAGTTTCTGTTCCTGCCTCTTGCAACACTTGCTCTTGGGCTACTTTCTCTCCTAACTCAGCCTTCGTGTTGTGAGAAGCCCAGGATAGGTGCTCTGTGTGACAGCTCCAGCTGTGCTCCTGACCAGCATTCAACATCAACTGCCAGCCAGGTAAGTGAGTCACCTTGGATGTCTTACCTAGTTGAGCCTTCAGATTACTGCAATTCCACTTGATTACGTGAGACATCAAGTAAGAACTGTTGAGCTAAACCCAGTCAACTTGCAAAATCATGAGAGATAATAATAAATTGTTGTTTGGGGTAGCTTGTTACATAACCATAGAGAACCAAAACAAAGAGGTCCCTGAATAAAGAATTTCAGTTGGCGGTATAGTGCTAAACCCATCCTCAACTTCTTAGAATCCTTAAAAACAGGAAGTGAGTTTTACTCAAGATCTTGCATGGCAGTTTGTACCTAGTAGACATAACTGAAGTAATTTTATCTCATAAGTAAAATTAATAAA